ATATATATATATATATATATATATATATATATATATATATATATATATATAGTGTGTGTGTGTGTGTGTGTGTGTGTGTGTGTGTGTGTGTGTGTGTGTACCGAGCGGTATACCGAATAGTATACCGCTCGATATACAGTATCGTACCATACTGAGCGAACGTCAAAACTCTGATACGGTACGATATTTCAATCCTTGATTACCACTATAGATCATATAGGATTGTGCAGTTTCTACAAACAAAGAAAAGAACATTAACATAAAACCTACCATTATCAATAGCAAAACGAACATGATAGGGAACATCATATTCACGAAGATCAATAATGCAATCCATTAGATCTTGTGGCCTTTCCTTTCTGAAATAGACAATCAAAAAAGCAAAAACAAAGCCATTAGATAAGACAGTAATATGTGAGTACCTAATACAGGCAAAAAACAAAGCCAAGGTACCAAACCATAAAGAAAGGAAGTGAACATAGAATGAAAACTCAAGTTTTAGATGATTGGCATTATGGCATATATAACAACATTGACTATTTTGTGCACAGAATTAGTAAAATAGTAAGTTACTACCTTCCACCAATATATATAGATTCAAATGCCTCTGCAGCATCTAATTTTGATTGGTTCCTTTCAACAACATGCATAAGGTCATTCTTGACGTGTATTAGTTGCTGCACAGTATCAAAGCTGAGCTTTAAATATGACCTGTTCAAACCAGAAAGATGATTTTTCTGGCATAGCAAGATATTTGATTAGAAACCCACACATTTATGATAGCTAAATAACGAAGAAAGAATCAATAATCACGTGTATGAAATACAAAACATTTGTTATAACATATACCACAATAACTTGACCCGTTAGGTTGCCACCATCCCCAAAAGCTTATGCTTTTAGGATATGTGATAACCAAACTCATCGTTTTCTCATGGAATCCAAGCAGCCCATCAGTTATAATTGCATTCATGTGTCAAGTCCATTAGTCTTTCATTCAGCTTGCAGGTGAGAGGGAACTTTAAGCTCAAATTAGAAGGGGGTCAGGTCCATGGTGAGGGAAGATGTTAAGATTTAAATATAAATTTAGTTCCTTCCAATCAGCTTAAGCTTTTAGGATAGGCGGCAGCACAGCAGCCCAGCTCAACATTTTATAAATAAGAAAAGCAAATGATGATAGTTTAGATACACCTCAAGGGGTAAAATATCAGTTGACATGTACAGTATACAATAGTTAAACATCTGCAACATACAACCTAAAGCAGTTTACAGCATATGCCGAGATAGATAGTTTGCGGCTTCAATTTCCTTAACTTAGATATCCAGTATAATTGCAATCCCATGTACTCAACACATGCATTCATCAAGGATAAAAGAACAATTGACTTTGTAACAACAAAGATCTACCAAATCCGTCAACCCTATCATTTTATTTTCATTAGGAAGAAATTAATCAAGCTAAACTAGATATGAGGATTTGGAAATTCCTTTGATCCATAATCGTGTAAAGGGTGTATATAGTTTAAGAATCATAAGTCTGGTGACTGAAAATATTGCATGGAGCAAAATACAGATATCTTCAGAATATTATTATACATGAAATAGATACTACCATCTATCCACATTTTACCCCCACTTAACTTTTGTCAATAATACATAAATGTCAATATGAAATATGAGTCCAACTTGGCTCATTCGAATTGCAATCAGCCGATTCCAACCAACCACACTAACAAAAGAAGAACACAAATAGAAGCAAAAGCAACGGAGGAGAAGGTAATCAACAGAGGGAAGAGATCAAGAGAAGAAGAGAGGGTGCAACAGCAACGAAATTTATTAAGAGAAATGAAAAATAAAAATCCCTTGTCAAAATGTTAGTCCAGGTTTCAGATTATTGGACTCCATCAAGGTCCATAGCAGCAGTGAGAGGAAAAGAAGAACGTGAGAGGAAATAGGCAAGAGAGAGACAAAAGGTATACGAGGCATGTCATTGTCACCTTGAAAGAGAGAAGAATAAGTGAACCATGTTTAGAGTTTCCAATATTTTCCACACAACTATTGAGAGAAAGAGAAAGGAGTCCTACAGATCCTCTCCATTAATGCATTTTCATTCGAGCTCTACATAAACACATCTTAAGAGTCCATAAATGAAAAGGAAAGAGAGCAAAGATAGGAAAGAAGATAAGAGACAAGAATAAAAAAGAGAACAAAAAAATGAATCATTTTCAAAAATATTATAAATCTATTGAACCTCTTTTTAGTTTTCGGATGGCTTCAAAAATAAAACATTCAGAAATATATAGTGATTTTCAAGAATATATAAACATAAAGTTGTTTGTTATGTAAACACATTATATGTGTCTTCAAATATTTTAATTATGGACTCATATGTGCTGTATCACCATCCCAAACTTCGACTCTTTTAAGTTGTATTTTCATATCCTGAATTACCGCAAGAAACATGTCTGACACATGATCGGTTGTGCTCGACACATCATACCCAAGTCAAAGCATCAAGGTACTTTAGTAAATTCAATATTTGGGCTATAATCATTTAAAATATTGATATATATGATGATGCTAGCAAAGTACTAGCCTACTAGCAAGACATAAAGGCATGATACGCCATCAGAGACCATGTGAAGCTACTGAGTAACAGGCATGGGTCTAGCAATCATGCCAAGCTAGTTTGATCCTTGTATTTGAGGAACCAACAAGTACTCTTATCCGTTTTAGCTAGATAGATCTTTAGAAAAACATCAGGACCCAATAATCAAGAAGACCAGTGAACACAATGCATGATTTAAAATTAAGGAAAAGCACATCAAAAATAATAATTATCTTATTGAAGTGACCCTCCAAGTAGAAAGAAAGAGAAACAAGTAAGTTTCTGATAAAGGAATAGGTGGAACAGGATCAACATAAGAAACAGAGCTCTCAAAGATGGACAACAAACTTACAACCTCACAAGAATAGTAAATTGATTAAATCTCCCATCAGAAGAAATAAATGCCTTGCATCCAAATATCATCCTTCACCAACCTAACATCATATGAAACCTGATACGTGAGGTACAAGCTCACGAAGAACCTAGCTTTGATTGCAGTCATTTGGTAAGGCTAAGTGGGGTAGATTTGAACCTCAACCTGAACCAACAAAAGGCCAACCTTCCCTGACTTTAGCAACAAAAGAATGAGGCAAGAAAAGGATGGTTTACAAAGAATTTTCAATGTTTCCACCTTCCTTTTCTTTTATTTGGATTTTATTTTTTTGCATGCAGCCAGGGTATGGCTCATTAGGGATCTTATGAGATCCAACAACTCAAATTTATGAGCCATGGAGATCTATGGACTCACTAGTTCAAGGTAAATGGGTCAAAAGATGAGTCAGAGATATGATTTGATTCCTTATATCAAATAGACTTTCATAGAACAAGGGCTTGATATTGCATAGCAACCAACACAGGTCAAATTAACTCTTGCTAGTAGATGTGTGCTTCAAAAGACATGATCAATATAGTTATTAGGCTATGCTTCTATTTTCTATACCATATATTCCAAGAAATAAGGACTGCAATTTCACCCTGTTCGGTACAGTCCGACCAGTATTCATCCCCCGTCTCTGTAGCACAATATGTTCCAACATAGCGTGTCGATATGCTAGAATGGACCAACCGAATACCGGTCCAAGGACCAATACTGGTCTAGCATTCAAAATTGAAAACCTTGCTAGAAAAGGTCCAGTAGTCTACATGATCCATGCAAGAAGTTTGTCATATATACACACCAATTTCTTAGTCCTAGACAGTTAAATTTCAATAATATTTTTTTGTGATTGTTAGTATTTAGAGTATTATGTGACTAATATGTGTGAATATCACTTTACGCCAATATTAGATTCTAGGGTTTATTAGATCAATATGATGGAAGTCAAAAATATCATGGAATTCTTTAAATACTATTTTGTTGGACAAAAATTCTTAACTAAGGATAATCCTACATGTGATGAAATTTCATCGTACTGGCTTTTCACTACCTTTGGTTCATATTGAAGTTATAATAAAACATCTAACTAGATATCCCCAAATAAAGGACATGTTGGATTTAAATGATGGGCATTTCATGATTAAAGAAAGGTCAAACTAGATTTTTTGTTTCTTTATTTTCATGTATTTTCTTCTTATTCCTTCTCTTCCTCCACTTTTATTTTTGTAGATGCATATAATGCTGGTTTAATTGTTTGCCGATGTAATTGGGATAAACATATTCATATAATTCATTTGTGACTACTTACAATTTTTTCCAAAGTGTAACCTTTGTCAAGATTAGATAATGACATTAAGAAACAGATAGTTTGTAACACTAATCACTTTAAACTATTCGAGCAAATGGCACAGAAGGCAATCTCCTTAAGTTATCGAAGCATTCCATGATGGCATGTCACACTTGGATCAAGATGAACAAAAGGCGAGAATGACCTGCTCCAGGATATTGATTTATGCATTATTATTCTTAATGGAGGAAATCATTTTATCAAGCTGAAGATATGAATAATGAAACATCAAAACAAAAAAGTAATACAAAATGATAAATCAGAGAACACATCATTGGATAGCATTAGCTTACTAAATCCAGGTCCTCTTTGTCCACAATCTCCACATCAGTTATTTGTCTTTCATATCTACGCCTAAGATATGCTTCAACTTCCAACTCCATCTTATCCTGCAGAATTGCAACCATATCAAACTTTAACTTACAATAAAGAAACATTCGGTCAAGAATCACGCCTCAAGCATCAGAAAGCCATTAAGCTACGAACTTCCAGAGTTCCTTCTGAAGAGGATTTATCACTCACTTTGGTGGCAGCATAAAAATAAGGTGGAAATTTGTGTTTCACTTTGAAGGTCAATCCATCCTATAAACCGAAAAAAAAAAAAAAAATTGCATCACGATTAAATGACAAACCAGACTAATAACCAAGAAAATTCCTTTGCCAGCGCAGATCATCTAGGTACATATCTTAGTCAAAACTAACCTGAGAAACAAAGTAAAGATCCACGCAACTGTAGATCTTGTTGGTTTCTTGATCCTCCCATGATGACTGGAAATTCAATAACATATCAGACACAAGCAAGAAACGAATACTGTGAGGAGAACGGTTTGGAAGGACTAAGTAAATGTGCGGCTACAAGAAAATAATGGGAAAGGGTGGATGAAATTTTCTTACAGGAGAGAAGGTAAGCAGCCATCCAAGCCTCTTGTCGCCCTCGGTGAAGAGATCGAACCCTAGCTTGCGCTCAAGCACCTCCTCGGCATTGAGCCGGTGTTTCTGCTTCGACGGGTTTCTTCCAGAGGTCAACCTTTCCCACCGCCGGCTGTCGGAATTCATGGTGGTATCACGGAATGGTTGGGGTTAAGGGCTGGTTCGGGGTTTTTCTTGTTCCACCTCAACTACGTAGAAAATTGGTCCCCGTTCCAGCAGAAAACGAATCGCTACACATTCAAAGAAAACCCTAATGATTCGGTCAAGAAAACAGTGCAGCATATCCCCAAACCCGTTGATCGATGCAGCACACGGTGGTAAGAAGCAAAGGATGAGAATACCTTGTTTAGTCTCCGTCGCCGACGCGCCTCAATCTGTTGTCTCGATCCGAGCCTTTTCGAGAACCGTTGCCAGTTCAGCCGAGCTTCTTTCTCCTTCAGATGCGCCGAGAACTCCCCCTTAAAAGGGATCCCTCAGGAACACTTTCCCGCGCTTTGCATTGCTTTGACGAGCCACACCTTTTTCCTACGAAATGGGCAAACGTACCTGCCATGTGGTTTGAGACAATGGGAAAGGCCCAGAAACTAGTCCTTCGGGGCCCATCTTTGTGCACCACCTGCATTATGGGCAACCTTCCTGCCACGTGATTCGAAACAAAATAATGGGACCACCTTTGCAGCCATTCACGAAGCAGGTATGTCGTCTCATTACGTGGACTATCATGGCGCTTGTGGGTCCCGGCGAACCGATGCCTTCGGCGAATCGTTTTTTTTTGGAATTTCTTAAAAGACAATTTACCGAAAAAATCCCTCTAATATTTTTTATTACAACCCTCTGTTAAATAATTGCCAAATAGCTTTTTCTTTCTAAATTCTACTTTTAGCCTTCTAATTTTAATATTTTTCTTATTTTTTTTTTTACAATATCAACCTCTAATCTTAAACTTACATAATAAGTAGTTAAATAATCAGATCAAAACACAAAAGTAATTATCCATTTAGTTTTCATTGACATAATATTCATGTTTAAATCATTATCATGTTCATATTTTTTTCTAAAGCTTCAACAATATTAGTGCTAACAATTAAAAACACATGAGTAGTGGGGATAACATATAAGTAGCATCCTTAAAAATTTTAGATTTTCTAATTTTTTTTGCATAAACATTATAATATTGTGAGTGTAAACTTACTTGTTCTACATTATTTATAATAAAAATACATAATAATTATTTATATTTAAAACCTTTATTAAGTAATTCACAAGTTAGATATCCCTATAAAATCTTTTGGGATTTTACCATTTAATTCACAAAATCCAGCTCACTTTTTTATTACTTGATGGTCCGCATAAGAATATAACAGTTTACTTAGTAGGAGAAAAAAAGTTTCAAGAGATCTATGATGTTCTTGTAAGCATAAATTTAAAATACGATAAGAACACCTAATATGTAAAAGAGGACCATCAAAAGTCAAGTTAACACGATTCTTATAATTCAGGAATAGCAATAATATTTGTAGATATATTATCAAAAAAATTATTAAAAAATAACCAAATCATATTTTTCCAAAGTAATTTTTTTCATTCTATAGATATTATCAGTTGTATGTCATTTATTAAAAAAATATAAATGTGATAACTCCTTTTTGTATGGTCCAATCATTGTCAATCAGCTTATGACTCTCATGTAGGAATGCATTTGTCATTGATCACTCCACAGAACAAATATAAACATATCCATAAAAAATTAGAACAAATTTCATAAACTTTTTTTTATAAAGATTATGAACGACGTGTGTAATAGTAGAAAGAGGAACATGTATAGCATCTTGATAATAATCAATAAAACTATGTTTTCACCAAAATTAAAAGGGTGTTGTTTGACGAAAACAAATCTAGCTAATTTTTCATGATTTTTTAAACTAAATAATAAAAAGTATGTTTAGTTGGGTACCCAAAAATTAGAGTTTGGGTTTTTTCATCCCATATTTGTGCAGGATGCTTCTTCTCAAGATATTTATAAATTATTTATGTTAGAGTAGATTTTGATTGTCCAAGCTAAAAATTGATTCAGATCTAGTTCTTTTTCGAGCTAGTGTGAAATTTTCGAATCAAACACTCAAACATGCAAAAACTTCGTTAGGGGCTTTCCCAACAATACCTTTATGATGCTCAGGTCAGTGATCTAACGGAACAAGTTGGTATGTTATATAGCTCGTTATGGTAACGAAAGTGTAAGAAATGATCATAATCGCCTTTAGTTGATGCTGAGTCATTATATTCGTTTGTTATGTCAGTTAAAATCACCCCCAACCAATGTCGAACCATTATCCTTCTTCATCTATTATTTGTGCAATAACAAGTGTGTAGTTAGACGTGACAGAATGTAACTTAAATGAGGTGTTAAAAATAGAGTTGTCAGGGTGCAGTTACTCATTTTCCAAGTGCTAGCTAGGTAGCTCATCTACATACAAATGAGGTGTCGAACATAGAGTTATAGTGTTGCCATTAGTAATGATGGATTAGCTACGTCATTTTCACCCTAACACATCCCTCACAACACAGAGGAAACCGGTTGGAAAGTACTATTTGGTTTGTATTTGTTGTTGGTGTTAAAGACAAAGGGACGCTCAATTTAGAATGCCTAACACAATATGTTATGGGTGTACTTCAATCAAACACGATAGCACAATGGGATGATACGATCAATTGCGATGGTATAATGCAATAGCACGATAAGTTAGTAGCTCAGGGTGCATTGGTGTATAGGACCAATGGGGTCCAGGCATGATGATACACAAAGAGCTAGTTTGCCAAGTGTAGTGGCATAGAGGGCTAATGGGTCGGATATGATGGCACATAAAGGGCTAGAAGGCTAGGTGTGGTGGTGTTAAAGGGCTAGTGGGGCTGAGCACGATGGTGCATAAAGAGCTAGTAGGCTAAGTATGGTGGCACAAAGGGCTAGTAGGCTAGGTATAGTGACACAAAGGGCCAGTAAGACTAGACACGATGGCACATAAAGGGCCAGTAGGTTAGGGCGGTAGAGCAAAGGTTCAGCAAAGTCGAGTATGATGGTGCACAAATTGTCAATAGGTTGGGCGTGGTGGTGTAGATGGCTAGTAAGGTCAAGTGCGATGGTGTACATAGGACCACTAGGTTAGGTGTGGTAGCACAAAGGGCTAGTAAGGTTAGACATGATGATGCACAAAGAGCCAATAGGCTAGGTGCAGTGGAGCAGAGGGTCGGTAAGGCCAAGCGTGATGGTGCACAAATGGTCAGTAGGCTAGGTGTGGCGATGCAAAGGGCCAATAAGGCCAAGCGCGATGGTGAACAAATGGTCAATAAGCTAGGTGTGTTGATGCAAAGGGCTAGTAAGGCCGGGTGCGATGGTGCACAAGGGGTCAATAGGCTAGGTGTAGTGGCATAGAGGGCCAATGGGGCTGGGTGTGGCAGCGTAAAGGGTCGGTGGCTTGGCAACACACAAAGGCGATGTGGGCATGTACTAAATACGACTCTTCTTGTGGTGGGCAGGAGAATCCAAATGGATATGGATGTGATCTTACAACTGATCATGCATCATACCTGCCTGCGGTGAAGGGGAACATGACATAACTGTTACTTACTGCATGGCCATTACATAAATAATGATAAATTTAGCATGATCTCCTTAACAATACGAATGATCATTGCATTATTCGGATTGTGCCATACGTCTTAGGGTGTGCTAGATGACACTGCATGTTCCACTCTCTTTAAAGCGTTCAAGAGTTGAATAGGGTCAGGTAGAGGAAGCACCACCCTCGCCCATATAAATTGTGGTTTACTGCCATAGTTGCTTCTCACTATAGTTTGCAACTTGAACACCCCCTGATAAGACACTAGGAGCCATTCACATAATGAAAGTCCACAATGATGTTGTCAGCCTTCTCTTCTAATACTTTGGACTCAAATAGGTCACCGATCCCATCATAAATCTTGGTGTTGATAGTGAAAATTTCAGCCTCAAAAGGGGGTGAATTGACTACATCGATGGAGGCTTCCCCTCCCTATAGAGGCGAATCCACCATGTGGTGTGGCTCATTAGTTTACTACTTGAACACCCTCGAATAAGACCCTAGGAGCCATTCACATTATGAAAGATTTATAATGATATCCACAACCTTCTCTTCTAATACTTTGGACTCAGATAGGTCACTGATCCTATCACAATCTTGGTGTCGACAACAAAAATTTTAGCCTCGAAAGGTGGTGAATCGATTGCACCACTAGAGGATGTCCCCCTATGGAGGTGAATCCACCGTGTGGTGTGGCTCCACTACCAATGGTGGAGTCCTTTGACTCGGACTTAGTTGTGCCAGCCTCCAACTTAGAAATGCTTTAGGAGGTGTACCATATATTGGTCGAGTTCGAACTAGTGTCTGCTTGGTCGAGTGACCAATCTTATGTGTCACATCATATATTCAGCATAAGCATGGACACACTAGGGCTAGGACTTTGTTGTTCATATGAAAGATTGGTTTATAACCAATGTGTGTTGTGTTCAATCGCGTATAATTGTTTTTACACAATTACTATGATTTTTGTCGTAGTTTTTAAATTTGGATTACACATCTCCTCTTTGTTATTGGGTGCTTCATATCAATGTTTTGTTGCCAAAATTGTTGTCGCATAACAGAGGAAAAAGGGCAGCAATAGTTGCTACCCTACAGTTTGGCCGAAAGCAAACCTTGCTACTCTCGATCTAGCCAAAGGTAGCAAGGTCGAGAGTAGCAAGGCTGCTCATAGCCTAAGCATTGGCAGCCCCTATAGCCATGGTTTCCTAGCTGCAAGGGGCACCTTTGGCGGCTAGGGTTTCGTAGCCACCCAAGGCTGCCCTGCAGCAAGGGTTTTCTAGTTGTAGACGACTTCTTAGTGGCTAGGGTTTTCTAGTTGTAGACGACTTCTTAGTGGCTAGGGTTTCCTAGCCACATAAGGCAGTCTTGTGGCCTAAGATTCCTGGCCACAGGAGAGTCCCTAGTGGCTAAGATTTTCTAGCCACATAAGGGATTACTTGCCATGTGGGTCCCTATGGTAGGATTCTTAAAATACTATAAAATAATTAATTAACTATTATTATTTAGTAGTCCTACATGATGACATATGCATGTGATATGTGATTTAGACAGATGATCATGGACTGTATGATATGATATATATGTATATTGTGATTATTATTATTATTGGGGCCTATGAGCCTCTATTTTTTCTCGTTTATTGTCGGGCTTGCGTGTTTGTAATTATGTTGTAACTATACGAGGAGGCACGATGGGAGTGTGGGGGTGATAACGGGACCCACGAAGCTGATGATCACGATGCATGGAGATATGTCAAGATACCGATAGAATCGAGGATGACGAGATGGATGATCATAGGGTATGGAGATGCGCTAATGCACACATAGATCATGATATGAGT